TTAAAGCAGATATGCCCAGTGCAAATGATTTCTTGAAGGCTGCTTCAGTGGTATCATGAACAGGTCTAAATAAAATTAAATCATTCACAGCTTCAATCTTAATTGGTTATGATGTTGCCTTTAAATTCAATTGTGAAGGATTTCCATTTTCTTTATGTAGAAGTATAATCTGTATTGAAGGCTGAAGTCCTCCCAAGTCTTCTGTTCTGTGTAGATGTGTTATTGTGCATAACATAGTTTACTGTTGAGTCTTAAGCCAACCCTGATGCCATTCTTCGTATAGTTTGAATTCTTGAATTATTTGCTTAGGAAAGGTATGGAAATTAAATGGGTATGGAGACTAGGTATACAACTTTCATGCAACATAGTTCTTAATTTTAAATCATGCTGAGCCACATTCCACCATCCAGTGGACAGTGCTAGTATATGTAGAGACTGTTGCGTACTGTCATCGGAACTGACCCTCTGGCAGGTTTTCAGAGATGGCCCAACTTTCTCCCATGGAACAGCTTGTAGATTGAAGCCGTGTACCCTTATGTTAGCACAATTCTTGACCACTAAGCCACCAGAGCTCCCTGAAACTAAATAGATGAGGATGATGAAGACCAGCTAGATACAGGGTTAAGCACTGTTGAACACTCCTCCCCATCCCTGTGAGGTTGATGGTAGCAGCATCCCCATGTCAGGCCTAGGGGCAAGATAATGGGATCTGTACCTCAACCAAGTTTTACATTGGAGCTAGAATTTGAACTGTGGCTAATGAGGTGTTAGCCTAAAGGATGGTAATGGTACCACCCACCAGCTTTCTTCTGTAGTGTTGACTCACACGTGTGACCCTGTGGGACAGGGTGGAACTACTGTAGGGTTTCCATTGCTGTGCGTCTGTAGAGAAGCAACACTTTTTTTTTTCCAGTTGAAACGTTCATTTATTACATGAACAGCAAATATCCACAAGGTAAACCATTTTAGAGTTGGTTATAAACTTGTCCCTGAGTTCAACCCAGATTCAACGAGCAAAAATGTAGACCTCAGGGCTTCAAGGGGTCAACTTGACTCAACTCGCTGCTGCATAGATGAAGATGTCTCATCGCTGCCCCTCCAGTGGGTTTTTGAAGGCTAGAAATTGCCCATCTTTCTCCCTTGGAGTTGCTGCTGTATCTGAATCTTCAGAGCACAGTCTTTGGGTTAATAGCACAAGCCCCTCATGGACCACCAGAGTAGTGCTGAAGAATTCGAGAAGTGAGTTTTCACATGATAAATGTGAAAAAGACTGTTTGTTATTATAGACAACTGAAATTTGGAGTGGTTTATCAGCTGTGCCTGTTGGCATTAGGTACCTTCAAGTTGAGTATGACCCATAATGACCCGAAGAACAGCCATCCTGAAACCAGCCCTACCCTATGACATCTTTATAGTCTCTGAGACACTAGAGCCCATTGCTGAAGTCACAGTGTCAATCTATCTCATTGGGCGTCTTAATCTCCTTCACGATCCTCTATTTTTCCAAGCATCATATCCCTTTCCAAGGAATAGCCTCGCCTAGTTATATGTCCAAAGTATGAAAGACAAAGCTTCATCATCCTTGCCTCCAAGGAGAACTTGGCTGGGCACACCCTTTCTCGGAATATCGGTTTGTACTTTTAGCAGTCTGTGGGATATTCAGTCTCCTCTGGCACCACAACTCAGAGGCATAAATTCTTCTTCTGTCATCCTTAGTGCAAATGTTTAGCAGTCTCGGTTGCTAACGGATATGTCCCTGTTAACCCAGAGGCACCTCAGTCAGAAGACCTGCTCATCTATAGAAAAAAAACCCAATTATCGAGTCCTTCCCTGATGCACATGGATCTGAAATCCACTTGACTGTACTTGGATTTTGTTACACAGCATTACTGTGGCAATGGCAGGCTGATACACCTTCAATCATGCCTTGCTGGAGTTCAGCCTCCATTAGGAAGGTTGATATTGTGTGGAGAAAATGGAACTTCCAGGGGCCTCGCTGTCCCCATCGTTGCTATCTGTCCCCTGACCTCCTCTCCCTAAAGACTAGAGAGCTCACAAAGCTTCTCTGCTCCCCGCTCTCTTCTCACCCCATTCATTTTGGAGTGGTCCCTCTACAGCACCTGCTGGCATATACACTGCATATTTCTTGGATGGAGAAACTATAATTCAAAATCAAGAAATTAGTGTATCAAGGATGCATACTGTCTCCAAATCTTTACAATCTATATGCAGAACAGAACATTCAGAGGCTGGGCTTTATGAGGAGGAAAGTGGCATCAGGATTGGAGGAAAACTCATCAACCGAGAGAACTTTCCTTCCTTGAGGAGCAGGGGCATGTGTGCAGGCGTGGGTGGCACTCTTTGCTCACCGTTCCAGTTCATGCACTGGGGTGGGGGTGTCCCCTGACAATAGAAGCAACACCTCTTATGCAATGTTTTGATCACTGTGCTGCCAGGGCTCCCCATTTAAGCCATACCTGTGAAGATTGAGCCAGAGTGGGGATGCCGCAGCAAGGATGGATTTGGAGCTCTGGTGGCCTAGTGGCAAGAAGCTGCACTGCAGTCCCAGACGTACAAGGTTCGAGTCCACCAGGTGCTGTGCTGGAGAAGAAGCAATTTCTTCCTCTACTAGTCAGATCCGATTTGGCAGTACACACATACACAAATAAAAAAGGACTGGGAACCGGATTTGCATCCAGGACTGGCATTCAAAAGGAGAGACCAGGGAGGAGGCTGAAGCAGGCCTGACACCCATGGTTATCTGAAGGACTCCAAGGAGCCCTTAGTTTTTCATAGCACAGCTGACACGCCACTGGAGAAGGCAAGGGACTCCACTTCGCCCACTTCAGGCCTTGGAATAGAAGATCCCTTTTCTACCACCTCCTCAAATACCGAGAATTCTGGGACCATTGGGAGCCCTGGCAGGCTGGGGTTTTTTATTTAGTGGGAATGTACAGTTGGGGGTGGCTGAGACAGAGGAAGTGAAGGCCAATTTCAGTGTCCTGACTGAGGCTTTAGAGTGGCTGGCTCAGCAGCTGTGATACCCAGACCCTGGTGTGCAGTGTATTTTCTGTAAGTTAAGGGCAGGTGTTGTTACCTAATCAGCTCTGACTCAGTGGTGATCTTATCTGAAGCACTTGAGTCTGCACTGAATTAATGTTAGTGGTGACTACGGTAGTTACTGGAGCTAACATTTTCTCAGCCAGGTTTTGTATCAGTTATTCAGCCAATTATCAGTATCACATGAAGCACTTTAGCCCACTAACCTGGAAGCCTCAATGGCTGGAGGTAAGTGTTCCTGCTTCTGTCAACATCCTTATGGCATGGCCTCTAGCCAGGCTGAGTCTAAATCCTGGTTCTAACCTCATTGTGTGACTTGGCATAACCATTCGCTGTCTCAATGCCCTCATCTCTCAAATGGAGATTAAAAACCACACTCACTTGCCTTTCAGGGTTGTTGGATCAAAAGTGAAATCAGCTCACAGTGACTGGAAAGTCAGTTCTCAGTTAAAAGGAATTCTCTGCCATTTTTGCTGTTGCTTATTAACTGTTGACTAGAAAGATCCCTGTCCTGGGTGTTCATATTCAGCTGGCTGGGCCTGGATCTGGGGATAGCAAGTGCTTTTGGGGCTGCTTCTAGAAGTAAGGCTTTTCCCACTGAGCCTTGACCGTGATCCTGGAGCAGGTACTGCTGCCCTTGCTTTACAACAAGAACGTCTCCAAGAGGGAGGTCACATACTAAAGTACGTGGGAAAGACAAGGGTCAGGTGACAGAAGGTGCCCTTTTGGCCATTGCTCCATTTCCCACACGACTCCAGGGAAGATGAAATAAAATGCTAAAGCACAAAGCCTGGTGGCAAAGTGTCCACCAGCTGTTCCTGGGGGGGGGGGGGAAGTCTCTCAATGTTTCAGCCTTGGAAACCCTATGCGGCAGTTGTACTCTGCCCTGTAAGGTCTAGAATTGGAATCAACTTGACAGCAGTGGGCATTTTGGGGTTGTAGTAAAACACAAAAGGTTAAGTATTTGGGGAAGCTCTCATACTTTTGCCAATGAAATGGCTTAAATTATACACTGGTGGTGCCACTGCTGGGAAGAGATAGGAGGATCCTAATAGAAAAAGCCCTTTATGCCCATGACCTGAATTTTTCAGAAGTAGGGAAAAAGCACATTGAGGCATTGTAGGTCCCAAACTAGAAAGAGGGTGTGAAGGGATCTGATGTGTGTGGGTGAGCACAAGAATTGAGATATTCATGAAGAACGGGGTGGGGAGTAGTTGCAGGGAACTGAGACAGCTGTGGGACAGACTTTTCCTAAGAACTCCAAGCTTAAGGAGTCTTGTTGTTAGCAAGGGGCTACCTGAAGCTTTGGAGTACCAGGAGCTAAATGAAGCCACTTGATAGATTTGCCTGGGATAAACCCCAGAAGGCAGGAATGGAATGGCCAGGATAAGTGGAACTAGAAAGTAGAGAAAGTGGGATAAACAAGATGGGCAGAATTGGGAGATGGGCAGACACAGAACTGATGCCTAGACAGATGCAAGAAGTGGGTAACCTGGATGGATTCATGACAGGAATGAAATCTCTAGGGACTGTATGGAACAAGACTTAACTTTGGGTTCAAAGACACCAAAAGGTCTGTAACCCACATGAAATCATATACAGACTTGTAGGTTAGTTTGCAGTAATTCTGCTAAAGGGGGTTGAGATTCATCAAATTTTCAGAACCACTGGTTTGTACTACATCCAACTTTGCAAGTATGTTTTCTGTTATCCCACACTGCTTCCAGAATGGTAAAAAACATATAATTTCCATATTAACAAAATATTAATGACATCACTTCCCCACCCCATTGACTGTAACTAGTAAGAGCCATTTGTCAGATCACAGGCGTTGGAAAGCTGCAGCAAGTGTTAGGCTTGTGCTTCATGTTTAGATTTGTAAATGGGGCTTTTAGGTTTCTGATAGAAGTCTTGCTTTTTGGGATGCTCGACATCCTGGGTCACAAGTGGAAGGGAGCATTAGGAGCTCCCTGAGCCCTTTGAAGACCCACAGATTTTTGAGTGGGGGCCAGGAGTGCAGGATGGTTCAACCTGACCTGGGCCTTGGCTGGCCGCAGCCGCCCTCCACCTCCCACATGGATGTTGACCGTGGTGGCATAGCTGAATCGCCTGGCAGGAGTGGGCAGGGGCTGGGGTGGTGGTGAAGGTGCCCGTGAGGTGGGGGCAGAGGAAGACCAGGGGCCCCTGGAGGCTGGGAGTCCCTCTCCTCCTGGCCCCTGCCGCCGTGCCAGGCTTTGACTAATGTAGGAGGCTGCCAGGTACCTGGACAGGGCAACTGCACTGCGGCCTAGGAGTTGATGGGTATGCAGTGGGGGGCTCTGGGTTGGTGTAGAGTCTGGAGCATCTGACCTAGTAACATGGGAGACTGGATGGCTTCCTGGCTTGGACAAAACCATAGTGCTCTCAACCTGGGTTGGTGACAGGCGCAGAATGTCTTGCGAGTCCCTCAGCTCAGACACAGGGGTGGCAGCTGGAACACAGAGGTCCATGAAGCTGCTTTGTTCTAACAAAGGTGGAAGTTTGAGAATCTGGGTGTCAGCAAGGCTTTGTTCCTTAAGCAGAGGGGCAGCAGCTGGGCTCTGGCTATCTGAGGGGTCCCCTGGTTTGGACAAAGGCCTCAGGGTTTGCACCTTGATGTCACTTAGGACTTGTTGCTGAGGTCGAGGTTTGGCAGCAGGAAAAGGAATGTCTGGGAAGTCATGAGGAACAGGCGATGGAGTGTTGACTGGGATCTGGGGGTCCAGGTTGTCTCCGTGTGTAGACTGAGGCATAGCACCCAGCACCTGAGTGTCTGGCAGGTCTTCTGCTGCAGATGATGTGCTGGCCAGGTTCTGGTGATCCAGGTGGGCTGTGTGTGTAGACTGTGGCATGGGATCCAGCACCTGAGTATCTAGAACATTTTGTGGTGTAGGCGATGGGGTCCTGGCTGGGATCTGGTGGTCCAGGTGGCCTCTAACGACAGGTACTGGAGTGGTATGTGGCACTAGGGTGTTTGAGAGATTACAATGCAAGGACAATGAGGTGCTGGCTGGAATCTGATTGTTGTGGTCACTCCCAGGCCTAAGCAAAGGACTGATGGCTTGGACCTGGCCGGCAGCCAAGTCCTCAAGGTCCCTGGAGCCTCCTTGGTTAGTTAGTGAGGTGTTAGGGTGGCTCTGGTCATCTAGGTGGACTCCTTGCATGGGCATTGTGGTTGGATCCATGATGGCACAGCAGCATCCTTGTTTGGGCAAAGCTGGGGGGTCTGGAACTTGGAGGTCTACACAGTGCCCTTGTTCAGGAAGAAAGGTGGTGGATGGAGCCTGCATATCCAGGTGGTCTCTTGGCTCAGGCAAAGGAATAGGGGCTCGAACTTGGACTTCCAGGTGGCGTTGTTGATCAGGAGACGCTGGAACTCGGATGTTTGCGGAATCTTTCTGTATTGGCAGTATGGTGGCTAGAAATTGACCAGCCTGGAGGCCCTTCTGCTCAGGCAATGGGGCAGTACCCAGGCTGCCCAAAGGGTCTTGCTCAGGCAAACTGGAGACATTTAGATGCTGAGCATCCTCTAGGCAGGTTCCTTGTCTGTACAGAGGTTTGGCCACTTGAACATGGGCAGCAGGGCCCAGGGGGACAGGTTCCTGAGCGCAGATGAATGTGAAGGGCAGGTCACACACCAGCATGTGTCCAAATGCAGGCAAAGGCTCTGAAACCAAACAAAGAACTGAGTCAGGGCTAATACCCCAGCATGGGCCCCTTCTGCCAACCACCTGCCCAAACCCTCACCTGGCTCAGCTTGCTCCTGGGGCAGACTGGGGGCTGGGTGGGGCTGAGCCAGAACACGGGGCCGGCGGCGAGGTGCATTGGTGGATGCTCGGGTCTCAGCCCGCTGCATCTGCTGGATCCGCTCGCTGTAGAGCCGGGCCAGCTCGCGCACGCGGGAAGCTGCTCTCTCTGTACTTGGAGGTCCCCCTTTCCCACTCCTACTACCTGCAGCCAGATCAGAGTCTTCCAGGATGAGCAGTGGCTCTGGGAAACCTGGCTGGGCCAGCTGGCCCTGCTCCAAGGCCTGCCAGGTGCTCTGGACTTGGGGACAGGAGCGGGGCTTCAGCTCATCTGGGAATTCCTGATCTTGAGTGGCATCCTTGGGTGTGAACTCTGCAAATGGAACCCCTTCTTCTTCCTCCCACCCTGCCTGGCTCCCTGAGGAGGGGTCACTCAGTTTACTGCTTCCTGAGAAGAGTTCTCTCCTGGTGGCCAGGGGGTCCTCTGACTCCTGTAGGGGACCCTGGAGCCAGGAGCTACAGGGAAGTGTGGGGATGCTGGAAAGACAGGCCCCCTCAGAGCTGGTGGTTATGGCTGGAAGGCCAGGCATTTCAAACACACTGGAAATCTCAGAGAGACTGGGAATGTGGGGAACTTCAGGAATTTCAGGAAGGCTGGGAATGTGAGGAATCTCAGGCCCACTAGAGCTCTCCAGCCCCTCCAAGACATGAAGTGGGGAAGGCTCTCGTTCATCCACTTCTAGCTCTTCCTCCTCCTCAGAAGAGTCATGGCTGGGCAAGGCCTGGAATCCCAGGGTGTCATTGTCAGCTGGCACTGGGGAGTCTCCAGGGAACTGGGGGATGTCAAAGGCGGACGGCTGTTGTGGGCACTGAGGAAGAAGCCAAAGTATCAGGGTGAGTGGCCCTTCTGGCTCCTGGTCAATGCCTGCCCAAGCCCAGAGTCTCCAGTGGGCAATGCAGGAACCCCAGAGCTCACCCCAGGGTCCTGGAGGCCCCTCTGGTTCAGAAGCTCCAGGATCTCCTCAGTGATTGAGGTTCCAGATGGGTCCAGCGTGGGGGGGTTGGCATCCTCCAGGTCCTCAGAGGGTTCAGGAACTGGAACTGGTGGCTTAGACTCTGAGGGAGGGTACAGCTCCCCCTCGCTGTCATTGTGCTGTGAGGAGAATGGGATGAGGGCAAGAACAGAGAGTATCCATCCTTCCCACCTCCAGCAGACCCAGCCCCGTATCCACCTCCCTCAGATGAAAGGAGCCACTTTCTTCTTTAAACCTGAGATTTAGAATTCAAGCCCTTGCTAGTCCTTTACTCCATCAGACCCAGGATCCTAGATCCCCAGGTCCCATCATTTCTTACCTTAAATCTGGGCTTAGCTGAGAATGGAGAAATAAAAAGTGAAAATGATAAGTAGGAAAGAACAGCTGTTCCTCATACTTGATGAGTTGCCCCCCCCCCAACCCCCACCTAGGCATTCCACTGGGGGAAAGACACTGGCTGGGCTGAGGCAGGCAGTGATTGGCCAGCTGTTGGGAACACCAGAAAAGGGCCCCTCACCCCTTCTCGAGTGAGGGCTTTGGGCCCAGATCCAGTCCCAGCCCTAGGTTTACTTCTGCAGTGGTGGGTACTCACCAGACTGTCTGCAGCCGTGGTGGGCTGTTGGCGGTCCTGAGGATAAAGCTGTGGGAGAAGGGGTCAGGACCCTGTTATGAGGCTGCCTCCAGGTCCTGGGGACTTGGGGGCATTGGAGGCTTGAATCCTTAGGGAATCCAAGGGAGGAAGGTGCTGAGTCCTACCTAGGGGGAAAAGTGAATTATAAGCCAAGATTTGAGATCCCATCCCATTTACCTGTATTTCTCTTTCCAGGAGTGAAGCTTCTAGTGTTTCGAAGTCTGGGAGACCCAAGTGGAGGTGTCAGAAGTTCTGGGATGGATTTACTTTTGGGAGCGCCTATGGAGAGACAATTAGGATCAACAGTGTAACTGTTTCTGGAGGTGAATCTCGCGTCCTTCCACATCCTCCCAAACCAAGACCCCCAACTCACAGTGTAGACTGTTCTCAAGGAGAACTTGCTTTGCCTGAAAGAGACAAGAATCACAGCTGAGGGGTCAGTCTCTGAGCACCCACAGGAGTGATCTAAAGACAGCAGGCCTGAGTCTCATTCCCAGGTGCTGTGAATACAGCCAGTGCTCTTTACCCAACCAATGAACAGGTCTATCATTCTACCAGGTGAGAAAACAGGTCCAGAGCCCAAAGAGGTGAAGCTACTTGGCTAAGGTCACAAAGCAGAGACTTTGTGGAGCTGGGGGTCAAATTCTGGCAGCCACGAGAGCTCTGATGGCCTAGTGGCAAGAAGTTGCACTGTAATCCCAAAGGTATGCAGTTTGAATCCACAAGGAAAAGGAGGGGCAATCTCCTCCTATACCAGTCAGATCCGATTTGACGGTACACATACCTCCCCCCCCCAAAAAAAATTAAAAAAAAAAAAAAATGCTGGCAGCCAGATGCTGCACCGGCACTCTGAAGTATCAGGTTCATTCTAGAAGGCCCTCTTGTATTCCAGGGAAGGGTCTCCAGCTGAGGGGCCCCAGTGGTGGCAAGAGTCCTACCTTGGCAGGAATGGAAGCTGGGTGATTCTCAAAGAAGAGGCGCTGGAGACAATGAATCCACAACCTCTTCTCTTCCTGGTTCTTGGCCTGTGGCGGTGGGGCAGGTGGAGTCAGGAAGCAGAGGAGGGGACCAGGGGAGCCCTGTCCACCCAGCCCTACCGTGTGCTCACCTGGAATAGGTGCCTGTGCTTGGGAATGGTCAGATCTGACACCTTGAACCCGAGAGGGTCACGAGGGTTCTCGCTAACACTCAGGTTGCAGCACTGGAGGTGGAGGGAAAGGGAGGGAAGTTCGGAGAGCTGAGTCACAGAGCAGCCTTCACAGGAGTCTCTGGGCCTCACATCGTCATGAGGTGGAGGCCCCTTTTTTTTGCTGACTACAACTCAGGTAGGGCACTGCTCGCCCTCATGGCCCCTGCTCTCCTCATATGGATCCTTTACAATGTTTGTTCCCCTAGTGGGGCTCCTTTCTCTCCCCTTATCCTGCAATCTTGACAGACCTCACCCTTCCCTATTAAGTCCTCAAGATAAAGAGAGAATGTGACCCTTTGGGACCAAGATGTTCCTCCACGTAGGCCTGGGTCCCCTTGAATGTGCCCCCCTTGAAGTGTTCAGGCACAGAAAGACAGAACACACTGGGGAGATGTGTCCCCCCTACCCCAGCCCAGGCCAGCCCAGCCAGCCCCATACTCACAAAGATGTGGCCCTTGTAGGTGTACTCTGGCCCCCGGCGCTTGGTCACAAGCAGCATCCGTGAGAACAGGAAGAGCAGCCGCTCACCCCCTCGCAGCCGGGGGCCACCGCCTCCACCGCCCCTGAATGCCCCCTCCAGCACCAGTTCCCCGAAAGCGCTGAGCTCCGGGCCAGTCCAGCCACACAGGTGCCGCTGCACTTCCTGCCAGGAGCCCACCAGGTGCACCAGGCATAGAGACACACACAGGCGGTGGCACACATACCAAGACAAGGGGTTCAGTACAGAGGTGCCTCGTCTGAGCCCACCATCAGTGGCTGTCTCTCAAGAAACCCACCCCTACGATGTCCCCTTGCTCATTCCACACCAGCCAGCCAGCCCAGCCCACCCAGAGGCTACCTGGAGGCGTGCGGCATGCTCCTGCTTCCGCTTCATGTCGTTGATGTACCAGGCAACTGCTGTCATGGACACAATGGCCTCCTCCACTGTCTCACGGCTCCCCGTGCCTGGGCCTTCTGCCCAGTGCTTGCCAAGCTCCTAGCAAGAGAGAGGAGAATGAGAAAATGACAGTGATAAAAGGCAAAGCCATGTAAAGATGGAGGTAAGAGAAATACACAGAGCATTACAGACACGGAGAGAGAGAGACATAAAGAGTGAAGTGGAGAGAGGTTCAGAGATGGACAGAGACATAGAGAAATGGAGAGAGAAACAGAGATGGAGAGAAATGTAATGATAAAAGACACACAGAAGTAAAGAGAGATAGAGAAAAGTAGAGACACAAAGAGAGATAAAAACAGAGAGATTGAGAGACACACACACAGAGATTGAAAGAGAAACAGGTGAAGAGAGACCCACAGAGGCAGACAGGAAGTAGAATCAGCTGGTGCCAGCTCCCACTGCCAGCAGCGACAGGCACCTCTCCATATGTTCATTCAGGCATCAGAAGTCGAGGTTGTCCCCAGGCCATGTATGTACCTGGGGTCTGCCCAGGGCACGGTGGGGGCCCGCACCACAAGCACTCAAGTGGTCAACTGGGCCAGGCCCACCCGCCCACGGACAGTCCCTGGGCCGCACCGCTGACCTGCAACAGTAGGTGATACTTGAGGATGCGCTGCACGGGTTTCAGGAGGAAGCTCTGCAGAGGCAGCGAGTGGCGCAGTTGGGCCTGGCGTTCCTGTAGCCACAGGGCCATCGGTGGGGACAGGGCCAGCTCCCGAAGCAGGGCCAAGGAGCTGAGGACATAGCACAGGGCAAAGAGAAGGAGGAAGGGAGGGCAGGGCTGAGTGGGATATGGGGGTGGCCAGGGTTCTGGACCAGTCAGGAGCAATAGTAGGAGGGACATGTCAGCTTGGGGGCCCAGTGGGGGAATTCTCACCCCTCACCTTGGGTAGTTCATGCAGTACAGCGTGTAGATGTCAAAATCCTCGCTCTGTGGGTGACATGGAAATCAGGGAGACCCTGAACTCTGGATCCCTATGGCTCCTCCCTCAGCTGCCCCATTTGGATGGGGCATCCCCTCATCCCTACTCACCCTCTGCACGAAGCACTCTGCAATACCCCCTGCACTGCTGCTGCCTTCCAAGTCCTCTAGGAGCTCACTGGAGAAGGAGGTGAGGGTGAGGGACCCTGTCACTTGACCTCTCCCACCCACCTCGCATGGGTGGGCTCCTGGAGGCCAACAGGGCAACAGACCAGCAAGATGAGGGGCCTAGTGCCTGCCAGACCTCCTCATGGAGGGGGAGGGGGTCATTTCCTGTCATCACTATGTAAAAGATGGCAACTTCTCAGACTTTGTCCTTGGACATCTGGAATACTGTCACAGCCCTCTGGACTGGCAGAAAGCCTAGGGGTGCAACGTCACAGCCCAAGACAGGGCCTCACAATCCAAAGATCTTGCCTGAGACTCAGATCCTGTCACAACTTTCAACCCTCAATAAGCAGAAGGTTCTGCCAAGACCCCCATCCTTTTCTTCACCACAGTGACCTAAGACAGAGGGGGTTTCCTGGGCCAGGGAACATGAGGAAAGTAGGGAGCTAAGCAGGACGAGCAGGTCCCTGAGTCCTCACACTGACAGCCCTCAGGCCTCAAAGGATTCCTGGGCTCATCAAGTCCCAGAGTCACCAGGGACCCTCCTGCCCCACTCCCTTGCCACTTTGCCGGCTGGTGTCACACCCCAAATACCCCTTGGATGGGACAGTATGGGCACCACGTCACCCGCCCTGACCTGCTGAACTGGTAGATGTCCTCGATGTTGGCAAACATTGTGCCCACCTGCTCCATGCTCAGCCCCAGGGCACTGCACTCCAGCAGAGGGCTCAGGTAGTCCTGTGGAGGTGACCTGAGTTACAAGGGCCATCTGACTGGCCCAGTCCCCACATACCCTCGATGTGTGTCACACTCACCTCCACGATGCTGCGGAGGTCTCGGACATAGGCCCGCTCAGTTTCTACTATCTCTCGGGCCACACGCTCCAGTCGTGAGGGTTTTGCTGAGCCCGGGGTCTCCACGCGGGACAGATGGAGGCAGATGGGGGGCTCTGGAAGAGGTTCTGGCCTGGACGCTGAGCAGGATGGAGCAGGTCCTGGGGCAGGATCCCCCTCAGAGCCCACTGTGCTTAGGGATGTGGCGCTCCCAGAACCTCTGGGGGAGGCCATGTCAGGGACTATAGGGGTACAGGGCAGGAGGTCAGAGGTCTCCCAACCACCCGCCTCCTTCATGCACTCAGGCCCACAGTTCACATCCTGGTGAACATTTTCCCGGGGGGGCCCCTTGCCTTGGTCCAGTCCTGTCCTCTCCCACCTGTCGCTAACCAACTATCTCCCTAGATTACCAGCATCTGTGGTCTTCCAGTCTAATCCACTTCCATGTGTTAGCCACGGCTGATCTTTATGAAATTGCTGCACTGACCCTGTCACTCCCATAGGTAAAACTCTGTCATGTCTTCAGGGTAAAGTCCAAACTCCTCAGAGTCGCAGGGTCCTGAACCCAGTAGCCATTACAGACCTTTCAGCCTGCTCTTGTCAACCTCAGCAACCTAAAAAAGTAGCCTTTTCTCATTTCTGGGAATAACTTCCTTATTTGCCTTGGCTGACCTGTTCCTCTTAATCTTTCAACTCGAAATTCAGATGCCCTTCTCCTCCCCCTGATCTCTTCTAGTATCTCACTGCCCTCCAGACCTTTCCCCCTCATAGTCCTGACCATTCAACACCGGGTTCTCCCTCTAGATCCCCATCACACTTGGTAACTCGGTATGGGCTGGGCTGTGACTGTCTCGGCCACCCTCTACCGCCAGCATAGCTGTCACAGAGGCAGCGGTGCCCGGGGTATCGAATGAAGGCATAAATGCCGGGCAGGCTCCACCCCACCCAGCGTGACCCCTCGCCATCAGGCCCCTCCTAAGCTTCACCTGTGCGGCCACACCCAAGGCTGGGGCTGGGTTTGGACAGTCCGTGGGCTCCCTCGGGCATGGCTGGGTGCTTTCAACACGGAGGACTGCAGGAAAAACCCTCTTCTTGGCTACTGGAACCCCAGGGGCCTCCCCGCTACCCAAACTTCACGGATTGAGGACTGGGGACCTAAATCCGGGGAGCGCGCCCTGGGAGAAGATTCACTCAGATAGCAAGCAGAGAAATGGAAAAGTCCAGAGCGAGGGAAGAGAACCAGGAGTTCGCAGCAGCGCCACCGGCTGAGCCGCAGGAGACCTGTGGACCCTGGGAATGTTTGGGTTCGGGCGGAGGGGAGGGGGAGGGCTGGGAAAAGACGTGGGCGGGATCCCAAGGGACAGCAGAGGAGGCTAGGGGACCGGATGCCAGGGTCCAGCAGACAGACGGCTCCCTCCCCCCCGGACTGTGTGCAGGGGCGCTGTCCCCGAGCCCTTGACCGTCGCCCTCCTCGAGCTGGTCTCACGATCCGTCCGCTTCCCCGCGCCCCTCCAGACCCTGCTCCCGCCGGAGGAGCCCCGCCGGCACGCCCCCTCATTGTTCAGCGGCCGCGGCGCCGCCCCCTCCCCCAGTCGCCCAGGCCCCTCGCCTCCCCCTCACCTCGCAGGAGCTCCAGCCCCGGCCCGAGGCCGCCCAGCTCCTAGTCGACCCTAAGGAGCTTCCCGCCGAGCCGAGACTCCTGCCCTGCGGCTTCCGGAATCTCGGGGCTGTCGGAACTCAGCAGTTCGGCGGGGCCGATGTCTTGGTCCTTCAGATGGGGCGCTAGGGACCCAAATTCCTGGATCTTCTAAGTAGGGCCGTAGGGAATTTCTGAGTTTCCCGACTGTACGAGCAGGAGCTTAGACCTCCTCCGGGGGGGAGCGCAGGGATCCTGAATTCCTGGGTCCCCTTGAAGTGAAGGGCGCTGTGGTCGAAGACAGCCTGCCCGGGGCGAGTTCGTCCAGTCAGGGACTCCTGAGTCAGGATTTTTAGGAACTCTTGAGGGAAACTCGCGGTCCAGGGTCCTGACTTCTTCAAACGAGGGTGCAGAAGGCTTGGCCTCCAGGGTCCCGCGGGGCTGACATCTCGGACACCCGACTCCTCCGGGAGGGGGCGCTGGGGACCGGGATATCTGGGGTTCTCTAGCCTAGGTGCGGGGACCTGGGCTTTGGGGTCTCTCAGGAGGTGGTACAGAAATCCCAGGCTCAAGGATCCGTGACTCTGGGTCCTTCAGACTCCGAGGTGGTGGACCCGGAATCCGGCAGCGACAAGCGGCGCCACAACTGGGGCGGGAGAGTCTGGCACCAGCTGTGGGGAGGGGGGCGGTCGTCCGGGGCTTCCCCTCCCCCCTGCCGCCTGGTCTCATATCCTGTTCCCGCCCGCGGGGGGAGTGGCCGCCTTCCGGCAGGCCTGCCTGCAAGGGGTTAAGACCCCACCTCCCTGTCTTTATGAATATTCATGAAGAGGTGGGTCTCAGTCGGGTCACGCCCTTGCATTCCAGCCGCTTCGCGGGCTGTTCCCTTTTACAGCTTGGGCCTTTGAGCGTGAGAATCCGGAATTGGTCCTATGGTTTCTTTTATTGGTTAGTCAAAAGAATTTTATTTGCATATAAGGTTTAGGGCGGAGCTGTTCTGAATGGTCACGTGGCCATGAACAACTGAAGGACCCTGCTGCGAGAGGTTGCGGCCGAAGCTCCAGTGGCGCAATCGGTTAGCGCGCGGTACTTATATGGCAGTGCAAGCGGAGCGATGCCGAGGTTGTGAGTTCGATCCTCACCTGGAGCACCTTAATTTTCTCTTACTTTATAATAAATTGGTAAATCAACGGAGACATTTACATTATATAAAGTATTAAATATTTCAGGCTTTGGAATTTTCAGCCTAGAAAGACTCCAGATTCTAAGCGGTATTAGGTTGTGAAAACAAAAAATTCGTTGCCGTCGAGTTAGAACCATTTCTTTTTTTTTTAATTTTTATTTTATTTTTGTGTGCGTGTACCGTCAAATCAGATCTGACTGGTACAGGAGGAGATTGCCCCTCCTTCCCCGGCAGAGCATCTGGTGGATTCGAACCGTGCGCCTCTGGGATTGTAGTTGCAGCTCCTTGCCACGAGTTAGAACCATTTCATAAATAAACCCTCCACCGGGTTTTTGGAGGTGGAAAATCGCTCGGAGAGATTACCAATTTTTCTCCTGCGGAGCTTGGATTTGGTAGTGGATTTGGATTTGAACCACCAGCTTTTGAGTTAGCAGAGCAACTCTTTACAGACTAAGCCAAAGAACTCAGATGCAAAGATAATTAAAAAACCAAAAAAACACTTATCCCCCTCAATTTCATTCAGATTCGTAGTGACTTTATAGGACAGACAGGGTTGTAGTTTTCAAGTCTGTAATCCTTACCTAATCAGACTTGTCCTGTCCTTAGGTGATGGTGGGTTTGAACCACAGACTTTCAGTTAACAGCCAAATTCTTAACTACTGTATTACCAGTAATTTAAGTGATTTGTATTAAAGGTGCCGTTTTTAATCGTGACCACCAGGTGGTGATACTGCGTTTTAAGAGATTCACCTAGGCATTAACTGGGACTGAGAATTTCAGTTTAAAATTTTTAGAAATTTGAATCCACCAGACGCTCCCCTGGAGAAGGAGGGGCAATCTCCTCCTACGGGAGATCAGATTGGATCAGTTGGATCTGATTCGACAGTGTTTACACACGCGATTTTAGAAGCTTTCTAGGCCGTGTAACTTTTCGTCCATCTCGGTTTGGAATTTCTAACTCCTTTTTGTCTTTTCCTCCTATCAATTTCTTCATCTATTTACTTTATTCAACAAATATTGAGCATTCATTTATACGCTTTGCTATGCTGGTCGGGAAGGCCTTGAGATTTTCATTGTGCTCCCCACTGCCATGGAGTCAATTTTGAGTTACAGGAACCCTGTTAGAGTAGAGTAGAGCCACACAGAGTGTTTCGGAAGCTGTAAAGCTACCGCTTCATCTTTTGTTCCAAGGCCTAGCTTGTCGATTCCAACTGACGTTTTGGTAGCAGCTGAATGTTTTTGGGGTTTCCCCATCTATTTTTTTTTTTTAATTTTATACTGGTTTATTTACCAACCCCGATACACTGTTTTTCACACTAGATCTTTCACAGATGAATGTTTTTACTCTCAGTGCTATTCTATACATTTAAAATCCAAACCTACTGCTGGTGGGGCCCACTGGCTGTAATTCTTTCTGGTAGGAGACCTTCCATCTTTTCTGGTAAAGCAGCTGGAGGGTTCAAACCTCCATCCTTTTCTTTCAGCTAGCAGCCTGTTATACTACCAGAACTGCTTATTTTGGTGATGATTATTTTGATGTCATGGAAAAAGTAGGGTTGGGTAAAAGGTTGTGAGGGAGTTCATTTCCATTCTTTTCCATCCACTCTTTTCCATTCTGTCCCCAAACACGTATGTTGATCCTATTTTATAAGTGTTATGTAGTAGTTGCCCTTTTGTGACTGAGATATTTCACTCAGTATAATGTTCTCCAGGCTCCTCCATGTTGTATAATGTTTTATGAGTTCTTTCTTTTTCAAGGCTGCATAATGTGCCATAGTTTTTCTATCCATTCATTTGTTGATGGGAACTTAGGTTATTTCCATCTCTTTGCTATTGTGAATAATGCAGCAATAAACACAGGTGTTTAATGCATTTTAACAGATGGATCTGTTTGCATCATGACTGGTTTCTTTAGGGTATATTTCTGGTAGTAAAATTGATGGGTCAAATGGTATGTCTATTTCCAATTTTTTGAGAATGCACCTGACCACCTTCAATTCCCACCAGCAGTGAATAAGAGATCTCTCCACAACCTCGCCACCAGTTTTTGTTTGCTGGCTTGTTGAACTTTGTTATTATTGCTGATGATATCTCATCGTTGTTTTGAGATTGCAGTGTTAAATAAAGTTGCTGTTATGTGCCTTCAAGTCAGAACCAGCTCATCTGTGATGTGAAGTGATGAGCCTTCTGTGGATTTTCAGAAGCTGTAAATCGCATGGGAGGAGATTGATGACTTTTCTCCTTTGGAGCAGCTGGTGGAGTCAAACTGCCAGAGTTCTCTGTTAAGCAGAGTTGTGGTTCTCATTTTGTCCCCTAGAGGAGTTGGAACCGACTCAGCTGAATCTCAGTAAATGGCATAGGAGCAGATTGCCCATCTTTCTTCCTTGGAACCACTGATGGATCTGAACTACC